CAGCTCTTGGTCACTCCTGAGCTTCCGCATCCCTGAGCTTCCCACAGATGGGTAGCAATGGCTTTAAAGTTTAAATTACATTTATCCCTTGGAGTGGCTTTATTCCATTCCTGCAAACGACTTGTTAAAACAAAAGCCAAAGCTTTTTTGCCTTTTTGTTCTGTATTTTTTATGCTTTTTTCTTTTGACAAGGATTTTTATTTGGGAATCCCTCCCCACCTGAAAGAGCCAGCCACAGAGCTTTCTGACACTGCTGGCCTTGGTCAGTGGCCACCAGGTGCTGACAGGGCCATGATGCAGGGTGGTTTGATGTGTTAGATATCCATGTGCATCCCAGCTGCTCCCTCCTGCTAAAGCTGGGCCAGTCTCTGCTTGTATAAGCAATGCCATCCATTTACTGAGGAGAGGCCCGGGATGGTGCACTTGGAAGGAAGCCCAACCTGTCTTCACTCTTGCTTCCCTCCTCCTCAAAGGGGAGACACCTAATCATCAGTATCAGGACTGAAAGGAGGAAATAGTTCTCTTTCCTCCACTGTCTGCATCTCAAGAGGAGGGAGTGAAAGGGGAAAGCGTTTGTTCTGATTACTCCTGTGTGGGAGAGGGCTTCAGCTCCAACTCCTCTTGCTAACACACTGTTAGGGTTGACATCTATCCAATTCCTCAGAGGTGATGTTTTTCTAAGTCGTAGAGGGATTTTGAAACAAAAATAATTTTAAATAGTTCTGTGGATTGCTGAGAATTTTAAGACCTTTGAAGCCATGTACCAGCACAGGCTGACAGCTCCCCCAGGCAGCCTGGTGTGATCCTCAGGCACTCTGGGGGCTGCGGCTGAGGAAGGGGCAATTCCTGACATCCTGCTGGCTGGGGCACCTCAGTGTTGAGTTAATGCCTTCAGATTCCTCAGGGGCAGCCTCTAAGGCATGGTGCCTGTGTGTTTGCAGAAAACCTTCTGCCCCTGCATCGAGAATCCAGCTGTGCAACAAGAGAGGGGATAAATCAGACAGCCCAAAAGTTTCCCTGAGACAGGCTTTTGGTTAAATATGTTCTGGTTCTCTTCTTTGGGAATGTCACAGGGGAATTCAGAGAACTTTCTTTGGAAGAATACTCAACTATTTTTTTTTTTTGAGAATGTATAAGTTAGAAGGATTCATTTTTCAATCTAAAGGTCCTGTCAGTGTCTTTGTAGTGTTTGTTTTCAGAGTGACCAGACTTGACATATTCACTGGTAAGCACAGTGAGCCCCTTCATAGGGGAAGTGACACTAATTGCCCCTGGGAAACATATGGAGAATGTACTGGTCTATGACCAGATCTATTTAACACTTCTGCAGGCACTCTGTCTCAGGAGTTGAAAGCTCAGCTTCAGAAATGTCAGGTGATGACATTTTCATTTCCCTTTGAAAACTATCTCACAGTCATATGGATCTTGCCTGTTAGGAACCCTTTTTTCCCTTTTTTTTTTTCTCTAAGCTGTTTTGTGCTTCAAATAGAAGGCAAGCAAAACTGTATGTTTTGCATTTGTGTGCAAAGCTTATTTCTTGTTAGTATGGACATCAATGAGCCTGGAAAAGTACTATTTCTAGGTGAACTGTTTTCCACTCACCTTTCTAATCTTTGTCATTGGTAGAAAGGAATGTCAGCTCCACAGAGCTGAGCATTCTCAAACATGTTCTGCCAGTTACTTTGCTACAAACTGGAGTTGAGCTGATCTGATTGATCACAGCACCTTTTTCTGACAATAAAGATCCAACCATAATTTTTTGTTACTATTATTTTGCTATCGCTTTTGCTAAAACTACTATTACTGATGTTATTATTGCTACACAGGAGACTTATAAAACAAGTTTTTTTTATAGCTTTGTGATGTCTCAGAAGCTAGCCTTCATTTGTGCTCCTCCCTTCTTCCACCATGTGTGTCATTTTCTTCACATGCTGTCAGGAGCATCAGATGTGGTCTTGAATGGAGGCCAGCGTTTGCGTAGCTCTCCTCAGGTTTGAAAGGGACGCCATGGAAAGTTTCCTTTCTGCACAGCTTGCAACAAAATGAAATACACCCATATGTAAAACACAACATTAGTAAACAGCAAAAAATAGACTTAGAACAGCACATCAGAACATTTTATCAGCTGTCCTCTGTGGGTGAAAGGGAAAACTTTCAACCAAAAGATTGTTAATTTCCTGAATGGTTTGGTTTTTTCCCCAATGTGTAGAGGTGAACTAAAAGCAATAGTTATCATGTGACCTCAAGTATAGTAGTTACATGAGTCCTGAGCTGCATAGGTAAATTTCTCTCTGCTGCAGAGGTAAATTTCTTTAAAGCTTTGGAATACCATACACATAGACTCATTTACTATAAAAGGAAAAATATTTCTAGATCAATGAATATGTGTACATTGTTTTTATTAGAAGAAAAAAAAAATCAATATGAAACTGGGGGGATTGCTTTTTGCTGTTTCTAAGATGACTGTGCATTTTTTTAAAGGAATGTCTGATTGATCTTTAGAGAAGCCTCTCTGACTTGCTTTAAACAGTAGCACCACCACATGTCAGGAAGTGGTCAGAGGTGCAAAATACCATATTAAATCTTAATCCTCTGATTAGGAGATAAAAAACCATAAAAGTATGCTATAAGGAAAATATTCAGTAGTTTTTGTTAATTTGATAAAAACAGGATATTAGTCCTATTTGCAAGTCAGAATAATTTTCTAGCTAAATATCTTTCCTATGATTCTTCTTCCTTTATTGTTCAGTTTTAAGTAATTTCTTATACAGCAGCTGTAAATTGTATAAGGGAGCAGAGAGTCCCCCCTGACTGCTGCATTGCCCTCTCTCCAGAACCCATATTTCATTACTTGGTTGCTGCAGCCCTTGCTGTGTTGTCCTTTTGGTTTATCTCTGCATGTTGCAGTCCTCTGGAAGAAGAAGTAAAATGAAAATCTAGCCAAAACCCCTAGGTATGTAAGAATTAAATTTGGGGCTCGCATGCTCTCTTAGAGATGTAGCCATAGTGAAAAATCAAAAGAGTACTTGAGAGCACTCTTTGCTCTGAATTCGCCAACTCTCTCATGCTGTACAGCTATTGCCATGGAAAGATGACCTGCAGCAGTGCAATTGGAGCATTAAAAAAATTGTGGTATAAATGAATGTATATGACCTTTTGCTTTGAAGTTAGTGAGGGAAGAAGCTTGCAAGGGATTCTCATTTACTTTCTGAAAAATATGTGGAACTTTAATTGAAACATGATTTGAGCATTAACTCATGTGCTTAATTGTTACTGAGTTGTGGCTGGCACCTAAATTCCAGTTCTTGTATTTTGCTTAAACCAGGTAAAGCGGAACCACTGAAGATCAGTTATCTGGACAAGATTATATATTATCTAAATCCAACACTTTAAAGGAAACTGCTGTCAACACCATCTCTCTGCAAGAAAAGAGTCCAGACAAACTTGCATCACCACACATTATAGTTTTCTACATGGTCCCACACAGCTTACTAAAGTTCTTTATAACAAATGGCTGTCATGGTGGTAATTTTCATTAGTTTGAATTCTCTGTGGTAAAATTCTGTGCCTAATTTTGCCATTGTGTTTTGCAGTCTCGTGTGAACACCATTAAAGTGTTCTGGTATGACAGTGCTCTCATTCACAGTTTGGTCCTCTCTGGGGAAAAGCTACGTGTTGTAGTAGGGAGTTCTTAGCTGTCTCAAAAGTGTTCTCTGGATTTCTCTTGCTATGTCTTTATTTGTATGTCTCTTTTTAGACATTTGCCCTTTTTCTAGTAGCCAAATAGTGTTGTAATAAAAAAGTGTCTTTGTTATTTGATATCTCTACCACTGTCAAGTAAATAAGGCAAAATCTATCTCCTGGTACCTTTAAATTTGACACAGGCTGAAAATAAGTTGTTCCTAACATGGTGTTGCCAGGTATTTTTGCAAGACAGGGGTTTGTATTTAAGCCTTTAAAAAACATCAAGTATGTGGATTTTCCTAAGAAACAGAGCTCTTTGCTATTTTCAGTAGGTACCAGTACCTCCCAGAGCTCCTGAATCTGCATGTTCGTGTTCCCCTTACCATGGGACAGCAAATCAGGCTGGTCTCTGTGAGGCCACTCAGCTCCCTGATCTCAAGTATAAGATACTTGCTGTTAACAGTGATCTCCCTATGCTAGAAACGGGAATGCTGCCCTTACCTCTTCTGAAGATAGAAAATCAATATACTCATGCTCCTGAAGTATCCAGAGCACTGTGCCAAATATAATGCAAATATTGGCTAACTTGTAATTAAATATTATATATATGATATGATATTATATGATATATTATGAATAGAATATTTATGGTTTCATATAATTAGAGGGTGGATCCAGCCATTGCCACTTGGCCTCTTGTCTCTGAAATTCTTCTCTGACTTCTGTTGGTGACTTGGGACAGGTGGAAGGGTGCACATGTTGGCTACACTGTTGAGCAGGAGGAAAATGTGTTAGATTCCCACCAAGCTCAACAGATAGTAATATATCAGAACTCGAGTTCTGATAACTGCTCAGAACTTGAGTTCTGATAACTGCTTTGTTTTGAAGCATCATGAGCATGAAGAAAATTACATTTTTGAAATTCTGTATTACAAGTAAAATTTGAGGTATTATCTGATGAATGCCTTATAGGCACAACTCAGTAAATAAAAGGCTGTTTGCATTTCAGACGAAGCAAATTATTTCATTTATGCTGGAAAGCTTTCAAAATGGACTTGATACTCCAAGATTATTAGCTACAATTGTCTCCGATCTTAAAATGTTGTTCATTTAGTAACAAATTCCAAATATCAGGCAGAACTTAGTACATGACTGTGAGTAGTCAAAAACTAATGCGTTAGCTAACTCAGTGCTCAGATTACAGTTGTGGCTAATAATGCAGATGAGTACTCTGGAGTCCTTATTTTCTGATTATCTCTAAGGAATCTCTTAGAAATGTATTTTTTCTAATCATCCTGCTTCCCATTGTCTTATAGGTGTTCAGAATAATGATGTCAACTGTTATTCATATTCTTGCTTTGTGTGGATGGAGTTTCTAACTGATCCAGGTAAGAAAAACAGACAACTTCCTTCACAAATTCTGCAGGGTGGCCTGGGATTGAAATGGTTGTTCTCTTCTCCAGAAACATGCAAGGAGCACAACAGCACTAGTACTGCAAATTTAATCTTGACCCATCAAAGTGCATCAAATGTATTTCCACATTTTTTAAAACTGAGTAGCATCTTGATAACAAGCTTTTAAGAGTAATCAATTCTTTCTTAATTTTATTGCATGTGAATATTATTCTTTGAAAGAGAAGAGACAATGACATAAATACTACCCTTAACTGTTTTCTCAGAAAGCAGATCTTAACGAGGCAAATTGCTTTTCCTTATTTGCCACATAAGCAGTTAGGGTAAAGCTTTCAGTTAACTGTCTCTTCAGTCTGATCAAACTCAAGGGTATTTAAGTGAGTGATGTTTCTAAATCAACATCAACATTTATATTGTTTTGAAAAGTGCTCTCACTAATGACCCTTCTTGCTCAAAGGCTGGCTCACTGTCTGCTGTTTGAGGAGGGAAAATCAAATGGATATAATGGGCTGTGTCTGACCTTTGTGCACCAGAAAAGAGAAAGAAAGGTAGTAATGCAAAGAGTAGTATGAAGTCTTATACTTTCACAAGAATTTATTTATATTTCTAGCAAAGACAAGAGAGAGTGGGTCTGTGTACCTGTGAAAACTCCTGGGGAGCAGAAGTCTGAAAAATAATTCAATCTCTCCATAGATGAGACTCAACATCCTTGCAGTTCATATGCTGGTATGTTTAAATGCCTGTGAGGAAGTAGTGGCCACCAGCAACAGCTGTTGGATATTTTCTCATACAGTCGAAGCTGAAGTAAAATACCCAAAAAATTTTCAGCAAGTACTCTCTATCTGTAAATGCAGATTTGCATCTGCTGAGGAGAGATGTGATACCAGCACAACAATAAAAAAGAAGGGCAAACATCTTTATGCTATAAAAAAAAAAAAACCCTCAAAGACATTTCAGGTGTTTTAGGGGAAAAATTAAAGGACAGAAACCTTAAAATAAACATCAAATGTCTGTAAAAGAGTTACCAAGGGTAAGAAACTGTGACTGAAGAAGAACAATTTCTTATTAGCTGTTCTTTCTCTGTCCTGCTTCATGTCACATGTTGCAATACACAATGCATGGATCTAAATTCAGATGTGCTTTATATGTGTTTTGTGTTGCCTTTGGTAACTTTCCCACTCCAAATATATAACTCCATAACAAGGGGCTTGATAAACTCTTTCGAAAAAGGACTGTGGATAGCAGCAAGTGTGATCTGGGGTGTTCCATAAAATTTTGTTATAATATAACAGTTCATGATGACAGTACTGAGAGTCAAAAAAGATAAGGAATATGGTATATGTTCCATTTGGGGCTAATCTATTCCTGGAAGTGTGCTGTAGTCATCTTCGTTGGTTTTGGTTTGTTTTTGTTTCTGTTGTTTCAATTTTGGCTTGGTTTGGGTTTTTTTGGGGGGTTTTTTTGTAAGGGAAAAAGGTTTCTTTTGTTGAAAAAGTAAATTGTCTCTCTCAGCTGTTTAGTCATTTCTCCTTGAGGTAATGAAGTAGTGCAGCAGCTTCAAGCATTCCAGATATCCTTATCTTAGTTAATGTTTTACAGATTTTGAGAATTTGGCAGTGAAGGCCAAATAGCAGTTAGACTGTATCAAACATTTTAGAAGAACCTTCCAAGACAGCACCCCTGTGAGAAGGACAGTGCTTTGAAGTGATGTCTAGTCATGCACTTGATTTCTTATTTGCACTTATTCAATGAGTGTACGGTAGAGAACAGATCTGAACCTAGCTCTTTAGGCTGCAAGGTTACAACAACAAAGTAGTTCAGGCATTCTGCTGCAGTTTTGTAGCTGATATCCATTGGTTATCTGGGTTATCAGGTAATTTTGCTACCTTTTTCAGGGGTAGTCCTTGAAAAGATCTCCACAGAAACTGTAGTCAGCAGCATATATTTCAGAACTATTAATCATTGTCTTGAAATGAAAACTATTAGCAGATTTCTCTGTGTTTTTATTTTCCTGAGCGAAAACTCATTACAAATGCCACTCTTCTCATCCTTTCTTTTGTGAGGCTAAATATCTTGAGAACAATTCTTTCAGTAGTGATTTCTCAAAGAAATTAAACATTCAAGAGTAAGAATGTTTATTTTCTATTTGTGGAAAACTAGTGCATGCGGTATACTTTTAATTATTTTAGGTAGTTGTCCTAATACTTTTAGAGTGACTAAATGCCAAAGAACCAATCACAGATTATGTTAGTTCATTGTGTGGAGATGCCACTCACTTTTAAATAACTTTTAAAATACTGAGGCTGAATTGATGGAATGGTTTGGTGCCTTCTGTGGTGCAAAAAGTACACAAGCTCCCATTTTAATGGTGATAGCTTATAATGATCTAAAAATATCATTTATATGCAGACCTTTTAATGTGCAGCAACAATGAAGTATCATTTATGATTTCATGTAGTCACCACTTTTTATCGTGTTCAGTTCCTTAATTTTCTCTGGCCAAGTTTACCATTGTTAAAATACATCCAGGAAAAGTCATGCTAAGTGGCTCAGGCTAATACAACAGAAATCAGCCAGATCTACTACATTTTCGGAAGAATTCATGTAGATGCTATGTAGACATTGAGGGCTTTTTTTGCCCTTCACTTGCCTTTGGTACTGTGTTTTTTTAATGTCTTTACATAGGATGCAAGAACATTTGTTTCAGCTTGTGCCTTACACAACTGACAGAAATTCTTGGGGTTTTTCCCCTCACCTTTACAGTTCTGATTTTACAAACACTTAGAAGTTCTCCATGATTTTTCTCAATTTCTTCTCTCATTGCCTTTGCCTGAATCAGCACAGGGTATTAGCCTAGTTATGGTGTTCCATAACATCTAAAAGAGGCAAGATTTGGAAAGAGAGATTAGTGTGCTTCCTCCTCCCCAACTTTACTTCTGCAGCAGTAAACGTGTATTTACATCACTAGTGACTTACCTAGCAGGACTGTAACCTGGAACTATGAGCTTTTCTTCCATGGTTTTGGCTGAACTGAAGTAGACCTTAGAAAATAATAGCCTTCTATGTGTGCATTTGAAAAATGAATATATTTCTCTAAGACCTTTAATTTTCTCAATGTCTTAAACTTTGGGGCAATGGAGAGCCCAGCTATATACAGAAAGAATTTGAATGCTAAGCTGCTGGGCAGTTGGCATGGCTTCATTGGGCTACTGGGATCATTTCTTCAGCAGACTCAGCATGAGCATGGTCTGTTATTACAGTAAGCTAATAACACCTCTGGAGGTGAAAAATAACATGGAAATGGTGCTAATTTTTAACAAAAAGGAATATGGAGGCCTGGTTGTGAAAATGAAATTAAGTATGGAGACAGTAACAAGGTTTTGTTGTGGAAAATAAATGGGACAGTATTATGGCAATACTCAGGCATTTTTCAGCAAGGTTGGATGAACAGTAGAGAAAACATTAAAAATAACTAAATAAGTAAATCTACTGCCTATGTTAGCCAGGATTTTTTGACAAGAACTACCTAGAGGTTAAAAAAAGGTAAGCTCAACTCTTAAAAAGGAGGAAGCCACACTGGAAATAGGAAATATTTTAATTAGTGATCAATCTTTGTATTTATTTTGGTGGTACTTTTGTGTCTTCCGGTCCATAAGGGTAGTTTCAAATAGTTTTTTAAAGCACCATCCTCCAGTGATGCTTTAGAGGAAAGTTCCAAAATGCTGGGATTTTTTTTTCCTTTCAGAGCATGTCAGACATGTCAATAAATCCTGACTCTCAGTTCTTAGAAAGGCCAGGTTAGACTCTCAATTCTTAGAAAGAATTTCTTAGATACCTTGAGCTGAGAGGGAGAAGAAAGAGACTAAACAGAAAGGCCGTACCTGGTGACCAAAAGCAGCTGTGAAAAAGTGCAAAGAATTGAGGCCCTGAAAGACAAATCTGAGGGAAATCTGTGGCAGCTGCTGGTGCTCCCTGTGCACAGTGTCCACGCTAATATCTCATGCTTTGTTGCAGGTTTCAACAGGGAAGAGCAGTGAGCACAAAGACAGGAAGAAAAGGGGGCTTGATCTTTCTTTGGTCCTGGAGCAGAGCACCCTGAAATGGGTGAGGAGGTCCCTGAAGCCACACTCAGTGGGCAGCAAGCACAACCTTGTGCTTCGTAGTTGTCCAAGAACTGCGACCAGGTAATGGCTAACAAAGCAACATAAGCAGGGCAGAGGAACAAGTCTGACTCTGTCTCTCCCAGCAACCCATGCTTCTTTCCAACTTGTTTTTCACTGCAACTCTTTTCACACTGACAGCAGTTCCTGCTGATTTAGTAACTCTGCTGGACAGCCATGGCTTGGACCTATCTAGCTATCATTAAATCCCTCCAAATGGTAAATTTTCATGCAACATAGCCCCAGTAGTCCATTATAGGTCTTGTTTCTAACCAAGCACAGTAACTGTTTACTTCTGTTAGATTCCACTCTAGAGAAAATGCTCAATTGAAGCTTCCTTGCAAGGATCTGAGAAACTTACTGCGAGGAAAATTTACAAAATCCTCTAAATTTACACAAAACTTGTGGAGGTCACCTAGGACACTTCAGTCTAATAACTCTGCAATGATTGTGTCTTCTTCGCTTACTATGTGCTTCATATTCACTATATAATAGAGTTTTCACTTTGAGATTTGCAAATAAACTTATTTACATGTTAAAACATTTCATCCTTTCAGGATGGCAATCACTGGAAGACTAGGTAGTTATTATTGTGTTTTGACCCACAGATGAGCACATTCCTTCAAGCTGAGAAGGCAGTTGCAAATCACTTGCCTTCTTTTTTTTTCTCTAGGCTCAGGTGAGCAGATTTGCATTATTGTTGCACTCTTGGGTATTTTAATTTTCAAACCAATGCATTTGAAAGTTTAAATAACCTTTTTTGTCATGGTGGAAATTGACTTAGATTGTGGGGTTACTTATAATTTAAGTAAAGTTCAAATCACACTGGCAGGCAAGTCTGTTTAAGCATGACCATCTGTGACAAAAAAAAAACCCTTGGCAGTCACTGCCACCTAAGGCAGCAAACATGGTCCAAAATATCACCTTAATACGCCCTTCTTTTTTTTTCCTTGTCTCCAAAGTGTATTAAAGTTGCCACATAAGAATATAGGTCACTTATGCAGGTCTTTTCAAAGGGATCCTTAATCTTTTAACACATCATTTACACAGAACTGCTCCTGAAATAAATCTTTCTATACCTAATTGGTGGACAGATTCCCACTTCTGCTGGGACCTGATCCAGCTCTCAGATGTCAGCACAGAGATTCTGACTAAGTGTACAAGCTGAAGCAACCCATTATTTAGCAGCTAAGTTGTTGATAAAGGCCGTTAATGGAAAGACTGATCATTGGCCCTATCAGTCTGCACCACAGGTACATATGTAAAATGTTGCTGAGTCTTGTCGTGGAGGTCCGAGTAAAAGGGCTCTGCTAAAGCTTCTGATTTGTGTGAAATGCAGCTCAGCCAAAAGAAGATATTGGAATTTCAAACCCCAGAAAAATGGCACAGTGTGGTCCTGGGTTTTCTGGGTGTTCAGCCTATGTCAGATATATTCAGGTCTAACACATAAATGCCTGGTGGCACAGCTTCTGTAAGAGCTTTAAGTCTTTAGGAAGACTTGCTTCCAGTCCTCTTTGTTTGTGATAAATTACAAGTGTTGGCATGCTGTTCCCTGTGTGATGTATGAACAGCCCTGATTTTTATCTTGATCTGGTTGTCGGTTTTTTACCAGGATTAAGTTTACTGCTGTTTAGATGCACATTTTCTTGCATCCTTTGTAGCTGCAGAGTCCAGGAGTAAATTTTTCAGTGTTTAACCTTGACCTTATTTCTGTCTTTTCAAGTTAATGGTGTTTGGCCAGTGCTCCTTCCCTGCCCACTGCTTGTAATCTGCCTGCTGGCTGCGGGATGAGGTGCAGATTGTACCTGTCATATACACAGCTGGATTTCATAAATGATTCACACCTATTTTCAAACAGGTGCACTTTTAATAAAATTCCTTGTAGTAAGTGTTTTAGAAACTCAGCAAGCCCAATGAGTCCAACAATATAAATCAGAAAAGACCAAGACTCTAAGGGTTTTTTTTTTTTATTATGACCTTGCCTGTCCTTAAACCTAGATTTCAATCACAAACCCTGCCTTTCCAGCTCAAACTTCTGAAACTGGATCACAAACTCGTGGCTTTCCTCTTTCTTGTCTCATGTTTTCCCAGTGGATTTACTGTCACAAGTAATTCTTGCTCTGTGCCTTTATTTTTGTATCCCCAGTGAGCTTGACTAAGGGCTCTTTTAAGGAATTCTTTTGCTTGAGGTATATAAATTTAAATATTTGGGTTCTATCTAGCAGTGTTAGCATTTCTCCTACTTTTTCTTCCAACTGTGATAAGTGTTTATTTATAAGAACTGCTTAAAAATAATAAAGTAATTGTTTCTGCTAGGCAGTTTTCCAATCAGAGTTGTAAAAAACTGAATTCATGGGTTTTTGAGTAAATTCAGAACTTATCCAAGTATTTGTGTGAATTTTGTAAACATTTAAGGTGAAAATAGATATCTAATGTCAACTGCTGAGCCCAGTAGAAAGCAGCACACATAAAACTTGAAACGTACACTTGGTGTGGGGAGCAATATCAAAGCATAGGTGACATTTTGGAAAATGCTGAGCAGAAACTTATTGGGATAAAGTGGTACAACAAAGACTTCTGGCTTGAAGAAAGTGTATGTTCAAGAGCTGTGGTATTAACATAGTGAAATCTTTAGCTCCTGCCCTGAGGAGTTGCTTTTCATTGCTTAAAGTGTCAAGGTGGCTGCCTGCTAAGTATTGTCAAAAAATGAGTCGCTGCAGGTTTCCTGCTTTGAATTGGAAAGCACTCTGGATCAGAAAGGATTGCAGGAATCTAAGCCTTTCAGTTTCTTCAGCATAAAGCAAGTTAGCTGATGTCTTCTAGATGACCTCTAAGAGTCACTTGTAATTCTTCAGCAGGCTGGAGCCCCTGCTGCAATGCCACTGCAGCTCAGGCCACATTGTGATCTGACTCTCCTGGAACAATAACTATCCAGGGCCACCCTTGCTGCAGATGCTAGCAAAGTAATCCTAGGTAAATATTAAAATACTTTTTAGGGACTAAAAAATCATTCCTGCTGAAAATAAACTACAAAAATTGCAATTCTTCTGTTCTGAATATGTGGAATAGTGACAATATTCACTTTTCCCATCATTTTTGGAGTTGTATCAGTTTTTAGCGTGGTAATAATTTCATTTGCATGTTCCTTCTTTGTTCAATCACTTTTTAAATATTAAGCCCATTATCTTGGTTCTCAGTCATATTTAATTGACTTTTCTATGATTTGTTCTATTTTAAGTACCTATTGCCAGTTCTCTTTTTTTTATGTATCATATTTAATTTTCCCCTTTTTTGCTTCATTTTACTATGAAATCAGAATCTCTTCAGATCTTATAATGTGCTGCTACATTCTTACATTGGCTACAGATTAAGAAAGGGATATTAGAATGAAATTAGGTCTAATCAACTCTATATATTACTTCCTTCACTCAAGAGTTTAGAGCTTTGTTCAGTTCGTCTTTACCTGCTCTTTTTTTTCCTCTAGCAATGTGTGCTATTTCCAAACCCTTTTATTTAGTGAGGAGAGGTAAAAAATATCAATTCAACTGATTCTTGATTGCCTTTAAATCGTAAATTGTTTTTGTAGTTTGCTCAGTAGTGGAAATGTCACAAAGAGTCAGGTTAGTTGTTCACGTCAGGTAAATTCTATCTGCTTTCCATGTTCTTCAGCTCCTGCACAAAACATGTCAACTCAGAAGAGTCTGTGCTGAATGCTGTTGCTACTGTTCAACAACTCAAACACTCAGGTTTGAGTTCCTGGCTTTTATATCTCTTTTTCTTCATTCACTGAGTCCATAAGAATCAAAGATGAAAAAGAGGTGGTGCATGCTACAAATACCCAATTTTTAAGTCTTGTTTCTTTGCATTCAAAGAAATTGCCATCCTCATCCATTCTTGGCTCTTTCAAGACTGGCATCCTTTGAGCTATGTTCTTCCTACACCTGATGTTCCTGCTGGTTTGGGATCCAAGTCTGCACTTCAGACTGTGTTTGTTAAGAAAATTCCTTCACGCAGACAAGTGGCAGGAAAAACACTCTATATGCAAGACCAAGATACTCACAATTGTGTCTACCTTTCAAGGAGTCTGACTCCACATTCCCTACCCACTGATGTAAATGTTTTCTTTTTAGCATAACTTAAGTTGTTTAATTACAGCATGAAAACATTAGGCATATGTTCAATTTCCAGTTATTATCAGTGTCATTTCTTGTTTGGTTTATGTGCCACAAAGGTTCTTTTTTTAAAAAACATCATTTTGTTTTGACATTCCAGGTTCTGCATATTTTGAGCTGTGCTGTTGCCAGTGCTCTGTGGGTGTTTGGTCTCTGGGAACCCTCTGGACTAAATAAATGCCTCATGATTCACACTTTATATCTGACATATTCTTGAACACTTCATTGCTTCAGGTCCAATATTATGTTCTGCCTGCTTTCAGACTCAGAGAGAGTCATTCTGACTAACTATAAGAATCTTTCAGGTAGCATGAAAAATTTGTGCTATTCATACTCCTGTTGTGCTGTGCTACCACATTCCTTTGTACTTTTCTTAGTAAGTGCTAAACACTAGTCATTGATTAAGAACTTTTGCTGCAACATTTTTCACTTATTTCTCCCCTGTCAACATGGTCTTAAGGTGTAGGAAATACTTATCTGAACTTACCTGAACAGTAACCAGAATTTCTGGCTCTGAGCTACTCTGTGATCCCATAAGGCACAGATAGATATTTAGATAGATAATAGATATATAAAACTCATTCATTGAAATTGCATATTTGACTCATGCTTACTGTTCTTAGATTAATGATATTAATCTTTTGCTAAAAGCACAGCTACAGATTGTATTTTTTTAAAAGATTTTTTTTAATCTCCCCTGCTATTCCTCCAGCTCAAAATGAACTTCACATTTGGCCAATCTTTTCTTTGTCATCCACAAAAGACGTACACCAAAAGGGTGAGGAAATACTTGTTCATTTCATGGTCCTTGAATAAACAGACTATCTGTTGCTTCACCAAAAACACTAACTA